AAAAAAAATAATAAAAATTAAAAGATTAACAATAATAAGATAAAAATAAATATATCGAAGAGAGAAATATAAATTGAATTAAAAAATAATAATAATAAAAAAAAAAAATAAATACATATATGAGACAATGTGTGCTTCCTCCTGCTGTGCCAGACGTGACGAGAGAACAATTATTGCACGACGATAATTATTAAAAAACAAAACAATACAAAAAAATAATATAAAATAAAATAAAATAAAATAAAGTCCTATAAATGGCGTATATTTGTATACGAGATGATCTCTTATTGGGTTTTCATCAACTGTCTCGATGTGTTTCGATCGAAGCTTGGAATGCGATGCAATATGGAATGGAATGGAATTGACGGCCTTGCACCTTGGATAAAAAGCTTTCACGCACTACCCAATTGCCGATAACGCGCTCAGAGGGGGTGGCTATTAACCCCCCTCTTCTCCTCCGGCTCACGGCGAACGCCTTGGAATGCTTTGTTCGATGTGTCAACCCTCGAAATATAATATAAACAATATTATTATTATTATTATTATTATTATTATTATTGTTATTGTTATTATCGTTATTATTATAATGAAATACGAAATGCGTTTGTTGCATTTAATTGCTTGTGCAACGAAATTGTAAGAAAACACTCGCTGGAATGATATTTTCATACTGATCGATACAATTATTCGACGTGCGCCATTTTTTCGTGCACTCGATGTGTGCATTTTTTTGGATATATTAATAATATAAATATTTGTACCCTATACACATTCATCCAAAAGCATCAGTTTTGTTGTTGCTTTTTGTCTACGTTATAACGTTAATAAAAACGAAAAGTTTGATTCTTTTTTTTTTTTTTTTTTTTTTTTTATTATTATTATTTATTCGACGATTAAAAGTAATAATATTATGCACGTGTTGATTGGTAACCCATCGAACGGGATTAATCTCTAATGATTTCTACGCACGATTGGATTTTATATTAATATTAATTAGGCTGGAAAATAATCGTCCAGTCATATTTTATTATTAAGTTGTGAATGATATTTTATTACGTAATGTAAAAGGTTTACATTAATCTGATCTTATTACATTATAAGATAATAAGATTGTGTATATGTGATGTCTGGTATTCAGACTCATGTGTTATAATATCGTATAGTTTTTTTTTTTTTCTATACGATTTATATGTGATGTATTTTTATACAAAAATAATGTAACAGATTATATTTTAACAATCTAGGATCTATTTTAATATGGGATATAAATAAATGTAAACGATGATTATCTCGTTACGAAAAGACAATTAATTTCTATTGAAAATATTTTTCGACGATTTTAATCATCAAATTAAACGATTAATCCTCGAAATAAATCATTTTATATTCGATAAAAACGCGATTTTTTCATTCTACGAATCGTAATTTGTAATTTGTTTAGTTTACTCTGAATGCAATATACTATAATAGATATTTTTAAGAATATTAAAATATTATTAATATTCAATTTCGATTGAATAACCTGTGTTAGATAAGTATAATATATTTTTTTTCTCGAAAAGTTGTATATGCGAATATTGTTATAAATATAACATCGATCGATTTTTTTACGGTTCTTTGGTTAAACCATAATGTCGGTCGTAACCTCTTACGTTTCTTGGTATAAGGGTCGTTTGAATTTATTTTCTATTTTATTAGATTCGTATTGAGAACAAAAAGTAAGAAAAAGGAAAAAGGAAACGAATTTTGGTGTTCTTGTTCGATTGTCCGATAAAAATTGTTCTCGATCAATTTCTTTCTTTTTACATTTGAACAAATATTTTTTTTTATTCGATTTTATTTTTCTTTTTATATTTCAGGACCAACGCGCGTTGATATATTTCTTAGGATAATTTCTTTTTTTTTGCTTTTCGTTTAACTTAACATTTTGTTTAGCGTAAGAAATTTGAAGTGCAGATAACCACAAGTGGGACAATCAAAAAAAAAAAAAAAGAAAGTAAGCGTGTTTGGACGTTAGCCAAAAAACTTGAGGATACGTTCGAAAAAGTTAAGAAGCTCTGTAATTGACCGTGATTGGCACAGGTTGACCACATATCACTGTAGTAACACTTAATCGGCTTGTCATATTCCTTTAAATGGCTAAAACCACGTAAAATCTGATACTTTGGAGATTCTAGGCGAAATGCCAAGTTATGTTCTTCTTTATAATTGGCTTCGCCAGCACCCTTATGAATGAAAGTCTGTTGGAATCTTTTATCATTTTCATTTAACGCATTTAACAGGAACGAGATTTAGGAATGATTTCAATGGTCTGCAATTTATAGTTTCGTTCGATAAATAATAGGTCTTTGATCAAAAAGAAAAATGAAAAGTATAATATTTAAATGAAAAATTAAAAGAAAAAAAATATAAATTTATTTTTTCGGCTATGACGAATCGTTAAAATTAATTCAAATTTAAGTTAATTTGGGTTAATTTTGAAATTCTTTATATATAAGTTTAATATCAAAGATTATCTTTTAAACAAGATTACATTGATTAAAACTCTTAATCAAACGTAAATCTAATCGGAATTAAAATTAATTTTTTTTTATGATTAAAAATCGTTATAAATTAATTTATAATGCAAAAGAAAAGAACAAAATATAATATAATAATATATTATATGTTTCAAAAATCGTATTATATATGAATATAATTTAAAAGAGTAAAAGCGTAGTATTTTTATTGATTTCTTTTTTTTTTTTTTGGGTAATATAAAAAAAAAACACGTGTAATAACTATGAATTATTAATGCTCGAATCAACATGATTAATCTTCTTATTAGTTACATAAGCATCTTCCCTATTACACGATTATACGGAATAAACAAAAAGTATGCACATTTTTTGTCGCATATTTGTATTTTTTTTTTTTTCTTTAAAAGAAGCCCCGAAAGCAGTATGTTCATGTAAAGTGTATATCATAGTATAAGAATTACCTTTCCAATGTAATATAGAACATCCCGTTATTTTTATCGATTAGTACGACGATCGTTTTGTATACTTAACTATAATCGAAAAACTTTGGGGCCAATGCCGAGACGTTGATCTTTAAACTCGTAACTTAGAACGATTAGACAAGTTGTTGGAATTGTTCGCGCGAACTCGTTTAATAAAATACAAACGAATTAAAATAGAAATTCGATTGAATTTAAAACGAATTAAAAATTGAAATTAGTTTTACTACGATCATAGTTGATATATTTTTTCATTATTGTAATATGAAAATGTTGAAACTTGTCAAGGGTGTTTTTCTTTTCTTTTCTTTTCAATTTGTTTTATTAAGAAATCGTAATTATGAAAGAATAAATTGGAATGATCGAATTAGAATGAACTCCTTGTCTTATCTGCTAACTTCTGATTTATTGGATTACAATAAACAAGAAACTATTATAATCAATATTAGATTTTCTATTTTATCAACACTATATATACAAAGGTTTGTTTAATTCTTATAGAAAATGATAAACCTAAACGTGTGAATTTAACAAAGTATTACAGGTAACTAATGTAAGAAAATATCGTGAATAATTGAATCACAATTTTGATTTGTGTCGTTTACCTTTGATTCCGAACAAAGTATCACGAGTCAGGCTCGTGTTTATTGTATTGGGTCCAAATTTCTTACCACGAGTCTCCACTAACTCGTTGTTTTAAGACAAAGGGAGATAATATAGAAGAGAGGAAAAAAAAAGAAAAGAGTTTGGCACTTATTTCATATGTTTGAACTAGGGTATCGTGGTTATAATAGGCTTACTTTTGTTTTGCTTCACCGTCAACGATGAAGTGACAACCAGTGGCCAACTGATTAGTCATGAGTAGTAGTAGTAGGTTAGGATAGAAGAATAGTGGTCAGTGTGTTCTCGAACTTTGCTCGATAACTATTGGTAATCATATTTTTTTTTTTTTAGTCTATAGAAACGTTTAAAATGAATTTGATGAATTAAAAAATTGGATTCATTGATAATGTGTGAATAATTAAAATGCGCAGGAGGATATCATTGATATAAATATATGTGTCTGGGTTTAGAATATTTGAATTTGAAATAAAATTTAGATCCAAAGGGCTCCTGGATAACTCAAAGGTTAGAGCATTCGCTGAAAAAGCGAAAAACCCGGGTTCGAATCCCGGTCCAGTACTCGGTCCAACGGATCAATTTTATTCAACAATTATCTTAAACATTGCACGCATATATTTGTCAAATGTTGTGAAAAATATGTGTGTATGTGTTATAATAATAATTTCTATGATATATATTATGGAAGAATATTAAAACATGACGTTGTTGACGTAGTGATATGGGTATAGGCAATTTAGTGTTAAATTCGTTGTTCGTTTTTGCTGGCACTAATATTATCTTACGTACTCTTGGTATTTGTAACATCTGCACACCATATGCAATCATTTTCACGTTCTTCGTCGCCTGTACGCTTTATCTGTAAGTAAATCATTTTTTATTATTTTATTTGTAAAAAAAAAACATACAATAACATGATATATTATAGTATTTAGATTTTTCGATATTATTTTTATATAGACACATTTTTAATATATCATTAGAAATTCTAATGTAAATATAATATAACTGCATACAAAAATAATGAATTTCTTTTAATTTTTGTTTTTCTTTTTGTCATAAATTTTGAAAGATTCATTTAATTATATTAATAATTATTTTTATTTCGTTCTATATAAATTCGTTTACATATAATATAATTATGTTGTTCGTTGATAACGAAAGGGTTAATATAACAAAATAATAAAGTTAATATATCACTTATTAACACAAAGACGATAGTAATTAATTGAATATTTGTTTAGAAAAAAAAAAAAAAAGT